CTTCGAAGATACGAAAAGGACGAACAAGGTCAGACAGTTGCGTTCAAGCTAGTACCCGACGACCTTCGGCAGTTGCGACAAGGTATGGGCTATATCGCGGTACTACGTGAACAATAAGGTGGCGATGGGTCTTTACGAGTCAATGGCCATACAGTAAAGACGCGTCTGAACTATGGACTGGGTACATCTGAGCGATGCTATAACCTAATAGAGACAAGTACAAATGAAGATGATTCTGCGGTCAGTTTGAAAGGGACTTTGCTTTTGGAGAAGGCGAGAATAGCTTATGTACGGTATGGAAAGATAGCCTTGTTTCACATCCCCTTGAGAGCGTTGAAATAAGACCCAGATGCAAACATGTCTTGTTTGTGTCAGACCAAGGAGGTACCCGGCCAAACGTTGGGAAACTTTTGGATATCTTGTAATTGATGAGTACCACAACATGGAAACAGAAGAATACAGGAGGGAAACATTCGAGCCCATGCGAAACGTCGATTTCAACAAGTTTGAAAAGGTTTTATTTCTCAGTGCCACAGCTACAGATTGGGATGACAGTAAACAGGCGATGTGTCGACTAGGATTTCGTGGGGTACTCAAAGAAGATGAAGATGCGCGATTGATGGATTTCAAAACAAAGGTCATCAACCTCATAGACAAGCCACCACTAGGCCACATCTATAAGGATATAATAAAATCAAATGATTCACCCAGGGAAGCCCTAGAGCTACTAAAAAGTCTATTTGCCCTTGAGCCACATTCGAAAGCAATTGTGGCTGTTGGCCGTAGGGCCCTGGTGGGGGAGCTTGCAATTGAGTGGAATAGATATTTCAACATTCTCTGGATCCATGGATCCTTGTCATCAGAGGAAAAAACACGGCGAACACAAACGTTTATCAATGATGGCAGTATGCGTGTACTCATCGGAACAAAGCTTGTGTCCGAGGGAATCGACGTTAAGGAGTTGCGAATGGTTCTCATTGTCGACTATCTTCCACAGATTGGAGAGTATATCCAGTGCGCCGGGCGGTTGCGTTCCAATGGGTTCTGTTCGCTGGTTTTAAATAACGACGAGCTGCCGTCACCGAGCCAAAGGGAAAGGGATGGTTCAATGACGTTGGGTTGTATCACATCCCAGATCCGTCGGTTTTATGGGTTATCAAGTGAAGGGGAGCAGTAATATGGCCTAGATGCGGATTCATGCGACCTGTATCGACGGGTCAAGATGGGTGTGTACAAGAGAACATCTGACGAGATTGGCGGAGCTTCACAGCCAGTGCGAAGAGATTTTGCCATTCAAAAAGAGAAGGCGTCTTTGCGGAAGCGGTTTTACGGCGTCAATGGTTATACCACGGTGTTCCACTACCTGAAAATGAATCCCGAGCACGTCAAACATCTGATTCTATATGGTGTTGATATAAAGTTTCTGCCATCGGGAGTATTCCAAACCCGAAATACATGCTATGGGTGTCAAAGATATCCGGACGTGTGTTTGTGCGTGTGAAGCTGTCTGTTCGGGATTTTGCGAGAGAATGGTTTCTCAGACAGTGAATGGAGATTGATGATATTATTCACTCTCAGAAAGACCTGATTGCGTTTCTCAAGAAGTTTGGCGAATGCAAAGATCGGCTGGTTGCGAGGTTTCGTATGAAGTATAGGCCGTACCTTGATCTTTTAACTTCAGGTAAGGTTTTGAAAATGAATAGGAATGAGGGGTTACGAGAGTATCCTCTCTTGTTTGCAGCGGAAATTAAAAGGAGATATTTCAGCTGTGCTAGAGTACTTCGAGAAGCCATGCGAGGATATGTGGAATGAAGAATGCGATCTTGTAGAGGTTATCGAGAGCGAAAAAAGTGAGTGGGAACTGCGGCTGAATGGACCATTATCACTGATGGGGTCCAAATACATATCAGCGCAGTATGGCCAGCGTGCGCGAGAAATCCAAAAGTACGCCTACAACATGTCGTGGGAACAAGAGCAGAGAGAGTTTATGGGATACAATCCGAACAATACGCCGAGCTGGGAATTCTACCTGATGATGCAGATTGGGTTGTTTAACAATGGGTCGTTTAGACAAAAGTTTCATTGGGAGGCGAGAGAAATCCCCGAGGTGAACATGCTTCCACACTGGTTGCGGTTGCAGAATGTGTATATGGAGTTGCCTGGTGAACATATTCCGTTGTACATGTACAGTGCAGTGTTATTCGGACAGGTGCGGGGGTAGGTGCGTAATTGAGCTATGTAACGTAGATGTGTAGCTAGTGCGGTAGGACTATGGTTTGGACTGTCGTATGGACTGTCGTATGGACTGTCGTATGGAATGGTTTGGACCATGGTTTGGAACTTTTCAGCAGAGGTCGCGGATTGTAAGCGTGAGTGTTCCACGTGAGAGCTGCAGATTGGTGGATGGGTGGTTTTGACGCGGTAGCTGCGCGGGTAGGGTGGGTGAGGGTTGGCAGTGCGGGCTGAAGAGCGGACGATGAGCAGGTGTATTATAAGCTGTGAAGTACGTGATAATAGGTCTTGAACCGTCTAGTGTTGAACTGATTACCGGGTGTTCACTGAGCTCAGCGAGCGTTCTCCGAGCTCACCGAGTTTTCTTGTGAAGTATTGTATTTCAAGCAGTAGTTCTTCTCGATTGGAAGCTTAAATCTTGGTCCTGTAATACCTCTAGGAGGTAGCCAAGAAGCCCACGGTAGAGAGAGTTCATAATGGTGAGCTAGTTGCGATATATTCATAATAGCGCCACAGGTCAAGTTCCTTGATCTAAACTATTGGAGTCAGACGCGTTGTATATAGTGTCATATTTACGGTGGTTAGCCAGATTGTCATTCTGCTTAACATAATGAGCGCCTAGAATGGTATATATCTTGTTCACCATCTCAAGAGCAGTTTTGGAAGCAGGATACTAGTGGCGTATTGTTTAGATCAACGACGCGTGGTGTATCAGTGTGTAGAGGACCTAATTAGTCAATTAAAGGTATGGATCATGTAACTATGCGTTTATACTATACTACAACTCACATATTATGTTTCGTTCTTCTATCTCCACTGAGTAATCTCAATTATTGTTTCGAGAAAAAAGCCAATTTTTGACCTGAAAGACAAGGCAAAATGATAAAGCTTCAAGTCGTCTCAGACCGTCGAATTTCTCTAAAATGTAAGGATGTAGGTACGGATGCTCAATGGTGTAAGGAGGGATGTAGGGATGTAGGAGGACCCGGTCATGTGATGAAGATGGAAAGTCGAGAGGAAATGGTCATGTGATGTAAATCGAGGGAGACGAGCTGATCATGTGATGAAAAGTCTGAAGGCGAGAGGGGGAGCTAGTTTTTCATGAGCCGTGGAAGCAGCGAGAGAAGTATTCACAAGCAGATGATGGCGAAGGCGTAGATTCCTCAAGAGTTTATACTAAATAGGTGTGTAGAAAGATGTTAGCAATATACGGAAGGAGCTGATCATGATGGATAGCCTCAAGAGAAATGAGTACCGTTATTCAGGAACAGTATGTTGGGGGAGCGAGAAGGCGAGTGAGGATGCGGTAGGAACGGTGTCGATGTAGTAGTATTGGAATCTGTAATTTGGAGAGAATGCAGAGAAGATAAACAGGATATGGTAGTATAAGAACGTGGAATGCCAAGTAGTATGCCAGGAGGTCGAAGGTGAGAAGATTAATTACGTTGGGTAGTGAGAGGTGCGTAGTAAATGGCAGGCGCGTGGTGAAACTAGCAGTGGAAAGTACCAAGAGAGCGAATTAAAAGAGTGCGTATGGTGATTGCTTGGTAATATTAGCAGTAGAAGCAGGGAAGCAGTTAATAAATAGCTGTTTCTCATCGAAAGGGAATAGGAAAATATATCAATAATTAATCAATGAGGGGAGAAGTCATGGAGGGGGGTAGGTAGGTGGAAGTCGGATAGAATAGTGTTGGAAGAATTGATTAAATAATGAATGTCTGGATAGTGGATGCCTGGATAATGAATTCTTTCAGATAGTGGATGTCTGGATAGTAGGTTTCCTAAGAAAGTAGGTATTCGAGAAAAGCAGGTATCGAGCAAAGCTGGTCTGCCATGAAAACGGGGTGAGGAATGGAGATTTCCAAGAGGTAAGATCCCAGGTGCGATCCAAAATGAGATCCGAGGAAGGTGAGGTATTAGGAAGTGAAGTGTCAGGGAATCGCGATGTCATGGAAAGTATCTCGAGAAGGTGGGTATCCCACGAAGGTGAGGTGCAAGGATGGTGAGGTGTCAGGAAGGCGGGTATCCTAGGAAAGCCGAAATGGGAAGTAGGTGCCAGAGAAGCAGGTATTCCAGGAGCGGTAATGCGAGAAGCGATGGAAGAAGTAGGAGTAGTAATAAGTCTGGTATCGTAGAAGCGGTAGAACGAGTAGAAGTAGTGATGGTCGAGAAGAATGGGTATCCCAGGAAAGCGTGAGTTGGAAGTGCGGTATCCAAGGAAAGCGGGTATCCGAGGAAAGCGGGTGTCCTAGGAAAGCGGGTGGTGGGAGCGGTAGGAGTATGGATGATTGTGTCGTATCAAATGCGATGAAGCGAGGAAGATGAGAGATGAGAGTAGAGAGGGGGAAGAGAAATGGAAAAATACGATAGGTGAGAGGCGAAGAAGGGAATATGTTACGAAGGTGGATTATTAGAGTTGATCTGAATATTAAAAGTACAAAAGCAGTGAGCTCTGGAGGAAATCAACGAGGGAGTCGGATCAGCTAAATGCGGAAGAATAATTATGGAAGGGGGTAGGTGAAGAGCGGGTAGGAAGATATGTTATAGAAATAAGGTGAAAAGAGTCTATTTGAATGTTAATATTGGAAAACTAGTGGTATCTGGAGGGATTCGTGGGGAATATTAGCTGAGGTAGCGGCCGTATGAAGTGCGGGGAAGAAAGAGTGAAGAATAGGTGGAGATTCTGAGGAAGGAAGATGGTGGAAGAGTTGAGAGGGAAGTATGTTTATGATGGGTATTGGAATAGTGGATTGGAATTTTAATAAGAGAAAAATGGTGGTATCTGGAGGAGATTCGTGGGGGTTATTGGATGAGGTAGCGGCCGTATGAAGTGCGAAGCAGGATGATGGTCTAGATGAGAAATGAGTGGGAAAATGCCAAGCGAAAATAGAAAAGGAGTATAGTTGGAGAGCTAGGAGAGAAGTATGTGATGAATACTGGATGGAATAGTGGGTTCAAATATTAATATTGGAAAAAAAGGGGAAATTGAGGGAGATCAATGAAGTATGCGAAGTGTTAAATGCGGAAGAATAATCATGGAAGGGGAAGAGTTGGGTGATGGATAGAAAGGTATGTTATAGAGATAGGTGAAAAGAGTCTATTTGAATATTAATATTGGGAGAGTAGTGGTAATTTCGGGGAAATCGATGGGTAAATTAATGCGATTATTCGATGGGGTAGCGGCCGTATAAAATGCGAAGCAGGAAGGAAGATGAGAAATGGAGAGGAATAACGTCAAGCGAAATTGGAAAAGAAAGAGGTTGGTGAGTTGAGAAGAAAGTATGTTATTGATGGGTATTGAAATAGTAGGTTTGAGTTTTAAGAAGAGAAGAAAAGGCGAAATTGAAGGAAATTCGTGGGGGTTATTCCATGAGGTAGCGGCCGTATGAAGTGGAATAAGGCGGGCGAAAATGGAAGAAAAAGATCGTTGGTAAGTCAGGAGAGAAGTATGTTCATGGTGGGTATTGGAATAGTGGATTGGAATTCTAAAATAGGGAAAAAAGAAGAATTTGAACGGGATTCGTGGGGGGTTATCCCATGAGGTAGCGGCCGTATGAAGGGCGGGGAAGAACAGTTTCGATGAGAGCGAGAGAGGGAGTAGAAGGTGAAGCGAAAATGGAGAAGAAAGGTCATTGGTGAGTCGAGAGAGAAGTATGTGATGAATACTGGATGGAATAGTGGATTCGAATTTCAATATTGGAAAAAGAGAAGAATTTGAGCGAGATTCGTTGGGGTTCCCAGCTGAGGTAGCGGCCGTATAACGTGAGATGTTGGGATTGGAAGCGTCGAGGAGAAGTGGAGGGAATAGGGCCAAGCTAAAATAGTAAAGGAGTATCGTTGGTGAGTTGAGAAGGAAGTATGTTATTGATGCGTATTGGAATAGTAGGTTTGAGTGTTGAAATACGAAAAAGAATTGTATTTGGAGGAGATCAATGATGGTATGAGAAGTGTTAAATGCGAAAGAATATTAATGGAAAGGGAAGAGTTGGATGGTGGATAGGAAGGTATGTTATAGAGATAGGTGAAGAGAGTCTATTTGAATATTAATATTGGGAGAGTAGTGGTAATTTCGGGGAAATTCGTGGGGGTTATTCCGTGAGTTAGCGGCCGTATGAAGTGCGGGAAAGAAGAGGATGGGAGATGAGAAATGGAGTGGAAGAAGGTCAAGCGAGAATAAGAAAGAGAAGGATTGGTGAGTCGAGAGAGAGGTATGTAATGAATAATGGATGGAATAGTAGATTGAATTTTCAAATACGAAAAATAGTAGTATTTGGAGGAGATTCGTGGGAGTATTCCATGAGGTAGAGGCCGTATGAAGTGCGAGGAGGATGGAGGAGAAATGGAGTGGAATAAGGTCAAGTGAAAATAGAAAATAAATGTCGTCGGCGAGTTGAGAAAGAAGTATGTTCTTGATGGGTATTGGTTTAATAGATTTGAATTTTAAGAAGGGAAGAAAAGGAGGAATCCAGGGAGATTCGTGGGGGTTACCAGCTGAGGTAGTCGCCGTATGAAGTGCGGGGAAGAATGGAGTGCTTATGGGTGGAATAAGGTCAAGCGAAAATGGAAGAGTATGTTCGTTGGTTAGTTGAGAGAGGAGTATGTTATGATGTGTATTGAATAGTAGATTTGGGTATTAAAGTTTGTAAACTATTGGTATTTGGAGGAGATCAGTGAAGTATGCGAAGTGTTAAATAGGGAGAATAATCGTAGAAGCAGGGTAGGTGGAAGGCGGATAGGAAGGTATGTTATAGAAGTAGGTGGAAAGAGTCTATTTGAATGTTGAAATGCGAAATGTATGGTGAATTGGAGGAAATTCGTGGGGGTTATCCCCTGAGGTAGCGGCCGTATGAAGTAGCGAGGAGGATGGAGGAGAAATGGAGGAGAAATGGAGTGGAATATGTGGAGCGAAATTAGAAAGGAAAGAAGTTGGTAAGTTGAGAAGAAAGTATGTTTATCATGCGTATCTAAGTAGTGGATTTGAGTTTTAAGAAGAGAAAAAAAGAAGGAATTCAGCGAGATTCGTGGGGGTTAACAGCAGAGGTAGCGGCCGTATAACGTGAGATGTTGGGATTGGAAGCGTCGAGGAGAAGTGAAGGGAATAGGGCCAAGCTAAAATAGTAAAGGAGTATCGTTGGTGAGCTGAGAAGGAAGTATGTTATTGATGCGTATTGGAATAGTGGGTTTGAGTGTTGAAATACGAAAAAGAATTGTATTTGGAGGAGATCAATGATGGTATGAAATGTGTTAAAAGAGGAGGGAAATTATGGAAGGGGAAGAGTTGGATGATGGATAGAAAGGTATGTTATCGAAGTAGGTGAAGAGAATCTATTTGAATATTGAAATGCGAAATGTATGGTGAATTGGGGGAAATTCGTGGGGGTATTAGCTGAGGTAGCGGCCGTATGAAGTGCGGGGAGGATTAGTTCTGATGGAAGAAGAGAGAGAGGGAATAAAGGTCAAGCGAAACTAGAAAAGAAAGAAGTTGGTGAGTCGAGAAGGAAGTATGTTCTTGATGGGTATCGAAGTAGTAGATTTGAATTTTAAAATTCGAAGAAAGGAAGAAATTCAGCGAGATTCGTGGGGGTTATCCTGCGAGGTAGCGGCCGTATAACGTGAGATGATGGGATTGGAAGCGTCGGATGAGAAATGGAGTGGAAGAAGGTCAAGCGAAAATTGAAAAGAAAGATGGTGGTGAGTTGAGAAGGAAGTATGTTTGCGATGGCTATCGAAATAGTAGATTGGAGTTTTAAGGTTGGAGAAATAGGGGAAATTGAGAGTGATCAAAGAAGGTATCCGATGTGTAAAATGCGGAAATAAAATATGGAAGGGGAAGAGTTGGATGGTAGATAGGAAGGTATGTTATAGAAATAGGTGAAGAGAGTCTATTTGAATATTGAAATGCGAAATGTATGGTGAATTGGGGGAAATTCGTGGGGGTTATTAGCTGAGGTAGCGGCCGTATGAAGTGCGAGTAAGTAGGAAGATGGGAGAGGAGAAATAGAGTGGAATACGGTCAAGCGAAATAGAAAAGGAAGGCCGTCGGGCAGTCGAAAGAAAAGTATGTTTATCATGCGTATCTAAGTAGTGGATTTGAGTTTTAAAAAGAGAATAAAAGAAGGAATTCAGCGAGATTCGTGGGGGTTATCCCATGGGGTAGCGGCCGTATGAAGTGCGAGGAGGATGGTTTCGATGGGAACGAGAGATGAAGTGGAATCGGGTATGCTAGAGCACTTATGGCTTAAGTCCTCCAGCGAATACGAAATTTTTTCGTGTTTAAATAATCAAGTATTTCATGTGATCAGAGAATACCCGGAGCCCCTCAAGCCCAAATTTCAGCGAATACCCGAAAAAATGTCCAGCGAATACGAAATGTTCACCCTAGGAAGCAATTCCCTACCCCCACCTTTCCAAAGTCCACGGGTATACAGAGTCAAGTGTGGAGAATAAGATACATGATTTTCAACCCAAATTGATCGATAGAAGAGCGTATGGAGTGTTCTAAAAATACCTCAGAAAAGGCCGTAGAGGTGATGACCCACCCCAGATTATGCTTTTAGTTCTTTTTAAGGCACATGTGAGGAAAAAAAAAATACTGTTTAAGGTACTTATTTCTCCGGGATCTCTAAATGCATTCCCCCTAGTAGCGTCTATGTCGAGAATTGTACACATAAGAATTAGTTAAGGAGCGCGTCAAAGTGCGCTTGCCACCATCTTTTAAATAGTATAGAGTTCTGAATCCGTAGATACCGGCAGTATCATTAAGCCACTAAAGCTATGGGGCCAGTCGAAGATTAGTGACAGGAGAACAAAATCTGTGGGATCGCTGGCTTTATTCGTCCAGAGTGATATTATCGAGAAGTTTTATATAAGAGCCCGGCGATGAGTCGGGTTTAGGGAGCGATAAGAAAGTTCACATAATCATAACATTTCTTTTTTCTCGGTAGGTTCGAGCGTCCCTGTGCACATGCAAGTTGTATCAGACCGTTACACGGCTATCGGCGGCTTCCTAATAAAGACAACCAAGGATGGCAGCAAGCGAATTGTTAACCCAAACCCAAATACCCTTAAGTTAAGGAAGAGCGAAGCGCAGCGCATTTTGGAGCTGAAGCTGCGGGATTTGTCGATGTATGAAAGGTGGAAAGAAGACCTCATTTTTTTGGACTGCCCATTACTTTTTGAAGCAGTGACAAATCAAAAGAAGTACTTTTATCACACCATAAATGGCATGAGGGCAGTGAAGGCCCACATGACATGTAGAGCGGATATGAAACGAGCTATCGCATACCGCGTTCTCCCGATAGTCCTCCCCAACAGGAGCAGGAAGTACCTCTACCAGACTAGCAACAAGCTCCGCGAGAGGCCATGGCACGAGAACGAGAGTACGACTGCATTTCAAAACAGGGAGAGCTCGTGCGTATTTCGCACGCTTGGTTGCGACCTGTTGGTGTTTACCGCCCACGACTACAGGGTTTTCAAGTCTTTTGCCATGGGCAGGGCGCTGTACGAGATAGACAGCACCGCAATTCTGAGGCATTGCCATAAGATGGCGATTAAAAACACCACTAAGCGGGATCTAGCCGATAGCTTCAACCGCAATATCACCGGGGAGCCGCTGCTGTTAAAGCTGCACCAAGTGGAATTTGCCCGGCGGATTCAAACCTAAGTTGGAACACCTAGAAAGCGCTGCATCGTAGAAAGTGCTTGTCAACCTAAATCTCGAAAAATGGAATTTTGCGAAGCTAAACATGTCAGCTTTACAATGTTTTGCAAAGCTAGACAATAAGAATGTGGGATTTTGCAAACCTAACATGTTTAGGTTTGCAAGAGAGCATGTGACCTGTTATACCCAAATAGGAAATGTGATGACCGCCTATTTAGGTATTTTTGCTGGGGTTGCTGATGACTACGACAATTACCGTCTGATAAAGACCGCTAACGGCGAAGGAGAACGTACGATTCCGCCGTCCAGAAGTTTCTTTTTGTCGTTAATGTTTGAGAAAAAATTAAAGCTTTTAATTCATGGTGAAGTTTTTTCCGAGGTGGTCGACGATGTGTTTCAGCCACTTGTATGGACAGAGCAGAAAGCTATCTAGCACTCGACGGATATCTACTTGAGCGCAAAGAAAATGGAGAATATAAAGTCGCGTCATGGCAGAGAGTTAAACGACGCATGTCCAAACAACAACAAGATCGGTTCAAGAACTACGAATTCATAGAAGTTGAAAGATACAAAGATTATGACACGGATCTTTTCCCATGTAATTCTGGAGCTCTATTTGAGTTGGTAGCGAACGAGATCCACTTCTTTTACGTCGATCCTGCTAGTAACGTGAAGAAGGTTACCACCACTAGAACAAAGTCTCAACTTTCTAAAAGTGCGGTACGCGAGAACGTTGTGCCTATTGTATTCAAAGGAAACAAGAAAAAGTACCTCTATCTGGAGTATGACGACGCTGAAGTCAGCCGTCAGCTGGGAGAGGAGAGGTGGAGCCTTAAAGTTGAAGAGGAGAGCCAGGAACTCATGCTCGCAACTGAGCGGTGTAACAACGTGGTGTACAAACATCTTGGTGCAGACCTGCTTGTGTTTTGCGAGAGGGATTTGCAAGCACTACGTCGTTTCCACGCATTCAGAGGTGAGTACAACGCCACATGCAAGCGTGTGTGCCACGCTGTGTACAAAATGTCAAGAGATCGCAAAATGCTGCGCTATAGAGCAACAAGGACTTTTCGAAGGCCTCAGGCAGGCGAGTCACTTCTCAAGACGCTGCAGGAAAAAAGCATCAACACATATTCACTCTACTTTGCGCCTTTTCTCTATATGATTCTCAACATTAGAGAATTTCCTCTTTTAATGGGGTGTTTTGACGACGAGGATGACGTGTACGACGAAGTCGAGCTTCGGGATGATCTTTCGGGCGAGGTTAGAGTCGAACAAATCTCGCGTATTTTCAGCAGGATGCTAAAGGATGAAGACGGACTGGGTGCAGTTTTGGAAGTCATAGTGCGACTCACAGCGTTTGACGTCGGAGCAGAGGTGAGAAGAAGTGAGCAAGAAGAGGATGAAGGTGAAGATGAAATATCCGAGGATGAGAGCGCTGAGGGTACACAGAGATCAAATTCAAACTTGTGTCACCCCGCACTACAGCCCGCTCGGAGGGTGAGGAGGCTTTTAGACGGAATCAAGTTTTTTGTTGTGTATGCTGTGTTCTGCACGGA